AAATTAAATTTTTTAACAGGGCTAGAGACATAGCTCAGTCTGAAGGCCCTGGTTCAATCCTCAGTACCACCAAATCATTAAAAAAAAAAAAAAAAAGAAACAATAAACAACAACCAAAAAGCAAAACCCAGAATCACTGGTTGGTCTTTTAGAACCCACAGATTTTTACTGGAGTCTAATGAACTGGGCTTTATCTAAATACGTAAATATCTAAGTAGCCTTACAGGTTGTATCAGTAAGTGTCATAGCTTGGCACAGCTTAGCACCTGGTAAAACTACACATTTTTATCCTCTGATAAAGTTCATAAAATGAACATTAAAGAACTGTGACTGCTTTCTAGAACATCTGACCTTTGTTCTCTAACTCTTGATAGAACTGTGACAGAGACATGAGCTCCTTTTACTGTGGAGAATTCCTATCTTACCAAATTGTCACTGAATACGCTTTCGCCCACAGCTGCTTCTGTAACATTTAAGATTATGCAACATTCAATGTTACATAGCACTTTGTGTCACTAACACTGACACACACTAGGGAAAAACCATGAAGACTCAAAATTACTGATGTTTCTAGAGAGGTACAAAACCCAATGCAAGGCACTACTTAGTTCTGCCACTTGCTGGTGTAAGACGATTGAGAGCTGAAACTGCAACTCTTGTTTATCCTTTCCTCTTTCCTTTCAGTGTTCCCTTAATCCACATTTTATGTCTCATTTTGATTTAGGGAATAAAATGTTTAGAAATTTTCCTAGAAAGATGGAACCATCCAGAGAAAGCCACCTCCGTTATTTTCATTCCTAAGATAAATTTTGTTGGGTTTTTTCTTTCTCCATTTTTTGACAGAGTCTCACTATGTATTCCAGCCTGGCCTCGAACTACATAGCCCAGGCTGGCCTTAAACCTCCTGCCTTAGCCACCAGAATAATGGGATTACAGGCATGCACTACCATTCCTGGCTTCCTTCCAAAGATTAATTTTGAAGTTTCAAAAATCATACAAAATTTTACTTATGCCCATTACAAAAATCAGGCAACTGATCTACAGTGACATAAATAAGGAAGTGAGTAGTTACCACAGAGTTAGGGGAGAGCTGGATATAGTCAGTAACTAGGGACTGAAAGGGAAGACAAAACAGGATTCTGGGGTACTAATGATGTTTCATTTCTTGATCTGGATACCAGTGTGTTCAGTTTGTGAAAAACTCATCAAATTTGCATGTATTTTTCTGTGTCTATAAGCCAATAAAGTTTTAAAATTATAGAACTACAGTCATGATTCACATTATAAGATAAATAACAATTCTTAACAAATTAATTAAAGACAAGATCCAAAGTTAAGCAATCATTAAAAGGAGGAAAATTAATTTCCACAAACTTTGTGAAACCTGAAAGCACTAGTGGGTCCTATATTTCATCTTCACATAAAAAGTACCATTACTAACCAGGAGGGCAAACCAGCTGGGGCATGTCCATGTTTTGTGTTGGATTCATAGGTTGTGCAGATACAATGGCAGGATCAAGAGTCTGGTTTTCAAAATCCAGCATTGAATCCTACAAGTAAAGTTAGGATGTAATACAGTTAGGTCAAATAGTGTAAACACGTAAACTTTGTTAAAGAGTATTTTACTAAAATGCACCTACCTGTATGAAATTATAGGGCCCCTGCATTTGTGCCATAAGATCTTGTACTCGCTGTCTTCTCATAAGGGGGTCAGCCTGAGCCACCGGAGTCAACGAGTGGGGCTCTGGTACTGAAGGAGATGCAGCCTGAGGTTGCTGCTGGAGTGAATTTACCACCTACGGTGGGAGAGAAAGTGGTGGCAGAATACATAATAAGCTCCACTCATCCTGTCATGACTGGCACCCAAATTGCACGTCATGTCATCTGTACCACAGAACCGGCTTCAGTTACTCGGCTGCAGCAACTTATCCCAAACTTAGCATTCCGATCAACGTCCACACCTCTATAGTGTTTTTAATTCTACCAGATCATCATGCAACTTTCATAATTTACTTTTTAAACTGCCTTCAAAGAATAACTGTTCTTCCAAAAATAATGTATTTTACTTAAACTATTATTCTTTCCCTAGAAACTGGATCTGTATGCCATCCACAGCACATATGCATTTATCTCAGCACCTGGAAAACGTATTGGTCATTACTATCACTGAAATTTAGGTTTCTTTCATTTCTCTGCTAACACACTAGGATCAAGATATTATCACCTCAACTAAGCTGCTACAGAAACCAAAGCTCACTTCTAGTCTCCTTCCCAGCCCTAACAATTTTCTGATTATTTTTCTTAAAAAAAAAAATCCCAGCTTTGCTTGGGAATTCTAGCTTTTATTTTAATGAATTTATATCTTTCTCTGGCTTTTAAATTTGGGAAAGTCATATCGTTGAACCTGGGCAAATAATTATCTTTTTCTCTTTATAAACAACACAGATTTTTTAAAAACTACGTTGTTTATCATGAAAAGCCAATTTAGCTGTCTATCAACCTCAGGATGCTGCAGAAATTTCTGGAATCCCATATGAATACCCTTTAGAAAGACCCACCTACCAGATATTAAGAACACCCCCCCCAGCAAAGTATTAAGTACAATAATATGATCATCTCTCAAAATGCAAGTATCTTATCTACAAAGCACTGTATTTTAGTTCCCAACCTTCTCCTATAAGACTAACATATATCTTTCAATGAAACAAATGTTAATAATTCACTTCCACTTCTATGCCCCTGCTAATGCGTATCTATAGTGTGGCTCCCCTAAAAACATACACCCACCCTACTTACCCAAAGTCCAACTGGTTGGCACATTTCCTACATACACTACCATTCTATAGATTTCTGATCTATTTTTCTAATTCTCCTGCAATATTTCTGAAATGCATTCCTTATTGGACAAATCTGCAATATTTTGTGAAGTTTTCATGAGATAGTATTTCTTGTAAGTATCCTTCTGGAGTAAGGGTCCAATTCTCTACTCTATCAATAATGCATCTTGATATTTCAACAGAGAGCTCAAATTACTGACAATTACACCACATTTGGAGAAAGATCCTGACAGCAGAATAATATATATAAAGGCAAAAACCTATTATCCAAACCTTAAAACTATTTTTTGGAGGTATAAAGGAAGGCATCTAAAAGAGGCTGGGAGGGTGGAGAAGCTAGGACCAACCAACTAGTAAGATTGGCGGGGGGGGGTACTGGGGATCCAACTCGGGACCTTGCGCTTGGGAGGCAGGTGGCAGAACCACTGAGCTAAATTCCCAGCCCCAACTAGTAAGATTTTATCCTTTTTTTTAAAAAATCAAATCTCACTGTGTACCCCAGGCTGGACTTAAAACTCATTATGTAGCCAGAAGGCCTCAAATTTGCAATCCTGCCTCAGCGTCCCAAATGCTGAGATTACAGGTTTGTGCCACCACCCCTGGGTTTTTTGCTATATTTTACAGGCAAAGCACAACTGAGAAGAGGTCCAAGTATATTAATTAAAGCTAACTTTTCCTATAAATAACTTGTGGAAATGAATAGGATGGTCTGGGGGAAGTTAGAAAGGGGAACTATTAAGTGAGTCAATGAACTAAAGACAAAAACCTGAAAAAAGACTTAGTATAAGCTGAGAGACAACACCAAGAAACACTGATGAAACCTAGAGCCTGGTACTGAACAGTGTTAGAGTGAAAGAGGAGTCCAAGATGACACACCAACAGATTCCCTGTGAAGTGGGTTTTTCTGAAGGATATTGACATAAGAGCCCAGCTTTTTAGAGAGCAACCTGATACACTTTAGGAGTCAAGAGAATCCATAGATAACACTGTATAAAAAAATTTTTATAATCAAATCAGTCACCAGCAAATTCTAATACACATCCATAGGAATACACAAATCATCTTTTAAATACAAGTCTTAGGCAATGAGTTAGTATAATAAACTAAGGGCCGGGGATTTAGCTCAGTGGTTCTGCCACCTGCCGCGCAAGAGCAAGGTCCCGAGTTCAATCCCCAGTACCAAAAAAAGAAGTATAATAAACTAATACTGTTACAGAAATCTCGGAAAGAAATACACAGAGACACAGAATTTGGATAAAATAATAAAATTTCTTCTCAGGAGCGGACGGGCATGCCAGAAACCAGTCTGGTCAATATCCCTGCCCTTTGTTCAGCATTTCCCTTTTTATATCCTTTTTAGCCATTATCTCATCCCTAGTGATCTTTGATATGTAAATGCAATTCCAGTTCCTATTTACAAGTCACAGACACAAGATAGGCCATATACATTGTAAATTCACTCTGGCCTGGTAACTTTGTTAGGTTAATGAAGTTACTGGTTAGAGTCAGATAATCTTCACCTTAAACAAGGAGTTACAGGAAAAGCAAATCTTAAAAGAACACATTACTTATTTTGCTTCTACAACTACCTTAATATTCAATTAAGTTACCTAAAACTTTTCCGTATCAATACAAATGACTAACAATCTTAATTTAGTCACAGGAGAAAAATTACAAATTAAAGACAAAAACATCAACTTGGAATATAGAGAACTCTCACCTCAACGGTTTCCACTGTCCATTCATCTACCTGCTCCTTCTCACCACTGCTGAACTGGGTTTCTGCCATAAATTGTCTATTTACATACTGCAAAGCAAAGTAAATGTTTGAGACATCTGTTTGAAAGGCAGAAAAATAAAACTGGCATTATGTTTTTTTAAAAAAATCATACCTCTGTTGATTCGACTTCACTTTGCTCAGTGTATTCTTCTGCTGGCTCAGGTTCTAAGAGGTTAAAAATTGATGAAAAAAAAAGATGAAAAACTTAAGATTTAAGTCAGTGAAGGTGGTCTGTATGATACTGTAATGGTGGGAAGTTGGCATGATACATTTGTCCATATCTACAGAGGGACCCTGTCTCAAAAGAAAAAAAAAATAAGGCTGATGATATAGCTCAATCCACAGGCTCTTCTGCTTTCCACTTAATAGCTAACAGTGTAAGGGCTGGGGATTTAGCTCAGTGGTTTCACTGCCTGCTGCACAAGCGCAAGGACCCGAGTTCAATCCCCAGTACCAAAAAAAAAAAAAACAAATAGCTAACAGTGTGGGGTTCACCATGTGTCAGGCACTGTACATACAGACTTCACGTACTGCTTTCTGAAGAGAGAAACCTGAGCTACAGAAAGCTTTCTCTTTTTTTTCAGCACTTTAATAACTTACTGAAAATTACACAGCTGCTAAGTTTGAAGCCAAGATTTGAATTCAAGTAGTCTGATTCTATAATCAATGACTTCAAACAATTGCAAGATTTATCTTCCAATAATTTGTCCAACTGTACTCACTTTTACTCAAAACTCACCATAAAGTACTCAGTCATGGTCTAGCTACATAATTAGTGTTGCACTAGGTGTTAAAATCAATCAGAAAAGACCTCTTGCCACTGAGGAATTTGTAACTCAAGACTATCAAATTATGCAGGGCATGGTGATGCACACCTGTAATCCAAGCATTTGGGAGGCTGAGGCAGGAGGATCGCTGTGAGTTCGGGGCCAGCGTGGGCTGTAGATTCAGGGCCAGCCTGAACTACACAGCGAGACACTGTCTCAAAAAAAAAAGCAAAACAAAACAAAAAAAACCCATAAGACAAATGACTGACTACTTGAGGGAATTACTCCTGATGTGTTTTGTCCCTTCAAACTCTTAAGTGTACATATACATTAAGTAATGACCTCACAGCCAAGGAAAGTAGAGCTCATCCCCAGCCGAACTCACCAGCTTCAGCAACCTGGTCTTCCACTGTAGGCACTGAGGCTGCCTCCTCTTCCTCACACAGACCATTCTGGTGGTTATGGGTGCTGTCAAAGTAGTTTGACTGAAATACACGCTCAACGATTTCCTTTAGAGCCTTATCTAAAGATGAATATAAATTAGAATGTTAGACTATTTGACAATACCAAGCTTAAACAAAATTCTATATTCTTCAAAATACTATGGTAAGAAAAAACCCACTTAATCAACTGTTACTAAAACATCTATAAACATAAAGAGATTAAATTTCACCAACAACAGAAATGTATTACAGAGTGACAGGGCTCAAGAACCTATACATATATCAAAACTTTGGGGGGGGGGGGGTTGAGTTTTGTTTTTCTTTGTTTTTTTCTATGCAGTTCAGGCTGGCCTCGAACTCACAGCAATCCTCTTGCCTCAGTTTCCCTAGTGCTGAGATTACAGTTATGTGCCACTACATTTGGCCAAAACTTTGTTTTTAAATATTGGAGGAGCTGACAACACGTATTCATTCAATAAGCATTTATTTAATACCTGCTGTACATTAGGCAATACACTAGGCACTGAGGACATAAATAATAAAAGGCAAAGCATCTCCCTTTCGCTGACCTTACAGTCTAACACAGAAGGCATGAAACACAGGAATGATACAATGAACTGGACCTAGTCAGGGTTGAGACCGAGTTGAGGTACAGAAAGTGAGTGAAAGAGAATGGTTTCAAGGGAGAGCAAAGAGCACCGACAAAGTCCTGCGCAAAGAAAGGTACCAAATGCAAGAAAAGGAAAGGATGCCACTGCAGCTGAAGCACAGGAAATAAGAAAAAGGATAGGGAAAGATGAGGCTAGGCAACACTGGCTAAGAGCCAGACCATGAATAGCCTTGAGATTAGACAAACAGTGAAATTAAGCCTTAAAGATTTTAAAGTTTTGGGTTTGGTTTGTTTTCTTCCTGGGAATCAATGAGGACCTTCTCACTAAGCTTCATCCCCAACCTTTCAATTTTTATTTTGATACAAGGTCTCCCTGAGTCACTAAGTTGCCCAGGCTGGGTTCAAACATCCTGCCTCAGCCTCCCACAGTGCTGGGATTACAGACATGCCCCACCATGCCCAGCTCAATTTTTTGAAGGGTGGAACAGGAACAATTCAGTTAAGCAACTACATTAGACAGAAAGACAAAGCCACAACCAAGGTGGGACATGCCTATAATCCCAGCAATCTGGGAGGCTGAGGCAGGAAGAGAGCCATGAAATTCAAGGCCAGCTTGGATTACACAGAGGTGTTCAAGGCCAGCCTGAACTACACAGTAAGTTTTTATCTTGGGAAAACAAAACCAAAAGACATTTAAAAGGTTCAGTGAAAACTTGGTACACTAGGAGATACAAAGGAAGGCTGAGAGGAGATATATAAAGAATTACTCTCAATTTTGGGGGCTTGTGCAGCAGAAATGCATGAGCAGGGTCAGTCCCTAACTTGGTCACTGTACAGAAAAACAAAAACTTCAAGAGCCATATTATATCCAACTATTGTAAAATTAACCCTAATCAGACCAACAACTCTAGGAATGATGGAACACTTCTTGTGTTTACCTTCAAGCTGATTCATAAGAATCTTTTTAAAAATTTAGACAAAAACTACACTTAAAAACATTAATTTGCATACATTTGTATCTTTCCATTAATAAGATGTGGGACGAATGGGTAGAAAATATCCCTGAAAAAAAAACTATATGCTTAGAGGTTTAACCCTTGTTACTCATCAATAAATGCTCTGTAGGCTTGATGTAAAACTACTTTTTTAAGCTAACAAATTTATACACACACAGTTACTGTACTTTCCTATCAAACCTCTGATGATAAAATTCAAAACACTTATTTATAACAAAGAAATACAGTTAAAAATAGAAGGCTGGGGATTTAGCTCAGTGGCACTGCACCTGCCTCACAAGCACAAGGTCCTGAGTTCAATCCCCTGGACCACAAAAAAATAAAAAATAAAAAAATTAACAAATCAAGAAAACGATCTTGCTGGGAGTGGTGATGCAGGCCTGTAATACCCGCACTCAGGAGGCTGAGGCAGGAGGATTACTGTTTGAGCCCACGCTAGGCTACATAGTGAGTTCAAGGCCAGTCTGAACTACATAGTGAGACCTAGTCTCCAAAAAAAAAAAGACTGTCTCGAACAAATTGTTGCTTATTCCTTGTTAATGTTCTGATTTACACAACACATATATAAACAGCAAAAAACAAACAAAAAACAGCCAGCCTGGTAGGGCACGCCTGTAATCCCAGCACTCAGGAGGCAGAGGCAGGAGGATCACCAGGCGTTCAAGGCGAGCCTGGGCTACAAAGTGAGTTCAGGGCCAGCCTGAACACAGAGACCTTGTCTCAAAAAAAAAAGTTGCAAAAAGTAAATAGTGGATGAATATTACCTAAACTCTTCTGAATTTCCTTCAGTATGTTAATCAGAAAATTAATTTTTAAAGATTTTTAGTTGTAGAGTTAATACTCACAAGTTGTCCCGCACACAGATTTTTCCTTCCCCTCCAGCAAGTCCCACAGGTGAATGGAGGCATGTTCATACTGCTCGTTCAACCTTACAATACAATCATGGAATGGCTCATTAATGAAGCGTCCACTGTCCACGCAAGGCAATATTGAGAAGTTTCTTCTGCTAAACACCACATACCTTAGGCTCATGTCCCGCTCAGGATCCACTAACTTGTAAAATTCATCCAGCAGCGACAACTCCTCCTCCGACAGGATCGGTATTCCGGTCAAGCCTTGTTTCAAGTCAGTTCGCACTTCATCATCTCCTAATTTGTCCAAAACATACTGTAGCTCAAGCACAGTTTTTAAACGTTTCTGTTCAGCTTCTTCTCTCATAAGCTGCTCCCGGCGTGCTGTCTTCTTTATTGTTTTCTGAATCTGTAAAACAATGTAAACAGTAAGACACCAAAGTTCTAATTTCTACTAATTCACAGGGAGACATCAAGCCTAGTGCTGTCTCCTTGCCCCAAACAACCCACTAGTGGTACTAGAAAGGTATTCCAGCACATTGAAAATAGTGACCAAAACTGATTTGTCTTTAGGCTTAAGAGGAAGCCAGCAGCGGTTAACGACTCACTTAAATTCAATCTACTTCAGGCTCAGTGCAAATAAAATGTGTCTCATTCAATGAGTGACATGTGATCCCAATACATAAAAGGATGATTCCCAACCTACAAGCATAGTTTCACTGCTAAAAATTCAAATCACACCCAACCCACCTGCCTCACTGGGACATTCTCAAGCTTTTCACACCAAAAAGGAAAAAAATGTTATTTTTAGATACATGTTATGAATCACTTGTTATGAATATGGCTGGTAACCATTGTGTATGTTATTAAAGATACAAAATGTTGGGAAAAAAACAAACAAAAAAATTCAAAGCACATGTATCTCTAGAATGTATTGTAACTACTAGAAAGTTACTTATAAAAAATAAACTTGCAATTTGTTTCAAAATAATCTAGCAAAAAAGGAGACAAGGGAGCAGAATGGGTATATGTAAAAAATAATTGCCCAAGAGACAATGATTGTAGAAGCTAATTATACAGGTCTTCATTATATTCTTTAGTTTTAGATATTCATGTTTGAAATTTTCCATTAAGTAGCATGAGAATTAGAATTAAAGGACTAAGCCAATTAAAACAGAATCCTAACCACAGCAATAATAAAAAGATTACCTCTCCTCCTCGGAAAAATGATTCAAAATTCTAAGTACCTTCTAAAAACACAAGAAGCAGCCACAACCCACCACTGCCCCGGACCTCAAAGAATCCACTGCTGGCCAGGCATGGTGGCGCACACCTGTAATTCCAGCACTTGAGAAACAGAGGCAGGAGGATGGCTGTGAGTTCAAGGCCAGCCTATGCTACACAGTGAGTTCAGGGCCATCCTGAACTACATAGTGAGACTCTGCCTCAAAAAAAAAAAAAGGAAAGAGAAAGAAAACAAGAATCCACTGCTTGTAGCAGAAATGAATCACAACTGAAAATAGTGATTTAAAACTGATCTGGTTCATGAACAAGAATGTTGGCAGAGAAAAAGTGGCAGTGAAAGATGAAGCTAAATATGAATGTTTTCACTACTATTCCTTTTTCTTCCTTGAAATGGCTGAAGAGATGGCATTAGCCAAACTCATCCAGCTTAGGGGCAGAGAAAGGTCAGCCTTTTTCTTCCCCACGTTCCCTTCTCAAGCCTCACTGGGATGAACTAAGACAAAGAAAATCAAACTAGGACAAAGGAAATCTGTGTGGAAGAGAGAAATGGAGGGAACCTGGGAGGAATGAAGAAGGGTGCAGCAACAAGACAAATCTGTAATGGCAGCAGAGTGGGTAAATGCTATCTTAGCCATAAATGAAAAGTGAATACATAGTATCTGTGCAGAGAGGAAACAGCTCTCTAAGTTAGGGTGTCAAGAAAGTTTTCAAGAAAAAAGTGACATCTACATGTCTACTAAATAGATAAGAAGCCAGGCATGGTGGTACAAGCCTGAAATCCCAGCCTTCAGCAGGCTGAAGCAGGACTGCTTTGAGTTTGAAGCCAGTGTGGGCTATATAGCCAGACCTTGTCTCAAAAACAAACAAAAAGAAAGCAAGCTACCTTTGATGAAATAGCAGATCAAGGGAAGGTGAAAGTAAGAAAAAAAGGCAGGCTACAGCTAGGCCAGAGCAGCTCATGAAGCCTAACCAAAACTGTGTGATCAGAGTTCCACGTAATTACTGTCAATCACTAATATTAAACCTCACACAAAAGTTTCTCAAAACACCAATGACAGTTAAAACAGAAGCAAAGGAGGAAACAGGTGTTTTAATTTACAATGTCAATAGCTTCAGAAATAGATATTGTATTAAAGTACACTGCAATTGTGCTCTAATGGACTAGGTTTTTAAAAATAAACAAAGGAGTTTGGAAATTATTCGTCAGGCTCTGACCTAAGCTAAGTGGTACAAGCCCCTATCCAAGTACTAGTCTTTATGCCCCTTCCTCCCCACACACACATTCTTCTGTTGGAAATGTAATCCTCTCAGTGCAGCAGCATTGGCCAGGCAGGGCCTTCTGGGAGGTCACCAGGTCAAAGGGCTCCCCTCAGGCAGGAGTAAATGCCCCAGTAAGAAGGGCACTCTCTTGTCCTTGGCATCCTACCATGGGAGGATGCAGTCAAAGGACCCTCACCAGGTGCCAGTGCTTTGGTCTTGGGCTTCCCAGCTCCTTGAACTATGAGAAATTATATTTCTGTTCTATAAATTATCCAGTCTCTGGCACTGTTATAGCAGCATAAATCATACAAGATACGGGATGTAAATTAAAACTACTGGGGCCGGGGATTTAGCTCAGTGGTTCCGGCACCTGCCTTGCAAGCACAAGGTCCCAAGTTCGAGCCCCTACCAAAATAAATAAATAAAACTACTGCTTCTCTGTTTTCAGGCAAGTCATCAAAGTTTCCCGTCTTTATTCAGATGTAACAAATAATGTTAACAGTAAGTATTTGAAATATGAGGGCCGGGGATTTAGCCCAGTGGTTCTGTCGCCTGCCTCGCAAGTGCAAGGACCCAAGTTCAATCCCCGGTACCAAAAAAAAAAAAAGTGTTTATGAAATATGTTGGTGATGCATCAGATACTCTTCTATAGACAACCTTAAGAGGTAAGTGCTATATCAATACCACTTTACAGAGTAGAAAACTAACAATGTAACAGCCGATCTCTCTTTCCCTCTTCTCCTACTGGCTCTGTTTCTCTGGAAAACCTTAACTAATACAGGGACAGAGAAATTAATTCATCCACAGTTATACAACTATTAAAAGTGGTAGACTTCGGATTCAACCCAGGCAATCTGGTTCCTGATCAGATCTCATAATCCCTACACTGCATGGTCTCACACCTTTATAACAGTCATTTTCATTTTTCCAAATCAGTGTCAACTTCGTATTTCAATGTTACTAGCCCTTCCTCAAAACAGCTGATACTCATTCAGAAGGCTTCAATTTCCCCCATCTCAACAAATTCTTTAACCTTGCTTGTACATAATTTTTGTCTAACTATGAAAGGCTTTTGTCACACCACAAAATATTTTGGGAAAACCCATCATCCTATTGGATTCAGAGTTGGTGCAAGAGCAGTGAATGTTATCAGACTGCCACATCCCTTAAACTTTCAGTGGAGAGTGATTATCAGTCACATAAACAAGGCTCTAGCTGGGCATAGTAGCACACACAGTAATCCCAGCTCTTCTGAGTTCAAGGACAACACAGTAAGTTCAAGGCCTGTCTGAACTGCATAGCAAGACCCTCTCTCAAAAACCAAAATCCTGGGCTGGAGATTTAGCTCAGTGGTTTTGCCACCTGCTATGCAAGCGCAAGGACCCAAATTCAATCCCTGGTACCAAAAAACAAACAAACAAACAAAAAAAACCCAAAATCGAACAACAACAAAAGGCATATTAAATATAATTGGGTCCAATCTTCTCACCTTGCACAGTTCATCAATAGTAACGGAAAGAGTGAAACCCGAGGAAGCAATACAAGTTTCCCTATTTTTAGTATTTCATAAACATTTTACTTACATCTTGACTTAATGCCATAAAACTCCTCTGTAATTCTTTTGCAAATTCCAAGTTATTTGTGACTTCCTGGTACTTAGACACAGCATCCTAAAATGACAAAAACAGAACTCAATTATACTAGGAATATGAAGAACTACAAAATTTTCTTATTAAAACAACAAAGTCTTTAATAAAATCCAACATCTTTACCAGCTGATCTTGATTAAGCCTCTCTCCTTTGTTCATTCGTTCCTGGTAATCATCAAGCTTACCCTATATTAAAAAAAAAAAAGAATTACATTCCATGTTGAAGATATGTATCAGCTTCACCACACTAAAATGACAACCCAAGCAACCTTCTATGCTTGTCTCAAATTGCACCTTAAATATACAGTACTTTATAAACACAGCTTAAGTAATATATTTAATGTAGTAAGTCTAATAGTGAACTAAAAAAATTTAAACACTCCATCAAATACTTATAAGCCAATGATGTGATGCTGCTTATTCTTCAGGGTACTCAAAAAAGATATTCATCAAGGCCGGGGATTTAGCTCAGTGGTTTAGCTGCCTGCTGCGCAAGCACAAGGACCCAAGTTCGATGCCCGGTAACAAAACAAAAAAAAAGGATATTCATCAGCTAGGCCAAGAATATGGTTCCTGCTCACATGGACGATTACCACAATTTGGTTAGGATTCAGCTTATATCAAAATGACAATATCAGACATTTACACTTAAAATTTCTGTGCCTCTCTTCCTCTCTCTCCTTTCCTTCAAAGGATTCATGCAAATAGGCACTATAAAAAGTGTATTTTCCTGAAGTCAGGTGTGGTAATGCATGCCTATAATCTCAACACTACTGAGGCTGAGGCAGGAGGATCACTGTGAGTTCAAGATCAGCCTAGGCTACATAGTGAGTTCAAGGCCAGTCTGAATTATACAGTGAGAACCTGTCTCAAAAAAAATTTTTTTTAATGTGTATTTTCCTCAATAAACCCAAGGGCATATTCTTTTATGTACTTCATCGATATATCTTGAAGAACACAAGATACTTCGAAGCTAAACATTTCACCTATGGGCAGTATACTAGTCAACAGCTTTGCTTTGTTAGTGACAAAGGAGGGGGCAGAAAACTACCCTCTGTAAACTTTAATGGTTTCCCAGGCTACTATACAGACCAACCCCCCAAAAGATACTCAGGCAATGCAAGAATCAAAAGTTCACTGGGTTTGGTGGCACACACCTGTAATCCCAGCACTTGGGAGGCTGAGGCAGGAGTTTAAGGCCAGCCTTAATTACAAAGCCAGACCCCTGTCTCAAAAAAAGAATCAAAAGTTCAGTTACTGTTGTTGCAAGGGTTGGAGGGTTGGTGGTTAAGAAATAAATCTAAATAGGAAGAAAAAGTCCAGAGGGGTAAGGGAGGTGGGAGGGGAAGGGGAAAGGAAAAAAGGGAAAGTAAAAATTATGAGAAAAGAAAAAAAAATGGAAACAAAGTCTGTGTAAATAGGGAAGGGTGGAAGGGGTGAAGGGCCCACAGGGAATGGGGAAAAAATAAGAACCAAGATACACCACATACAGGTACAAGCACCCAATGATAAATGTAAACGTATTGTATACCTAAAATGTACCAATAAAAGAACTTGAGCAAAAAAAAAAAAAAAAGGAAATCTATATTAAGAGGAAAATATTTAAAGTAATCACAATTATATAAACTTCCTTAGCAATAATAAAATTAAGAAACCATGTACGAAGTACAATTCCAATTTAAAAGACTTTTCAGAGCCTCAGAAACTAGGTTAAAAGCACTGGTAGTAAGTTTTAGGGGGTATCTTTTGTTTGGTTTGGTTTTTTTTATGACTTAGGATATTCCAAAATAACATCATAGTCAGAATTCAATTCAGAAATAGTTAAGGGAAGAGATTTAAGAGGCCTAAAACTCAGTGCTAATATCATAAAAACTGTGCATTAGGTATACTGGAGGGGGGGGCCAGTTTCTAGCTTTTAGCTGTATCTGCCATCTTTCTCATCTCGTTAAACCTAAAAAATACACAATGAGCATGTATCTCTCTCACGGGGTACAGTTTGTCAACCTAATCAAAATAAATGTCAAATCAAATTCCTAAAAAATGCTGGTATGGATATGAAAAACAAGAAGATAAAAAAGGAAGGCATCTGCAAAATAGAATTACTGGTCGTGGAATTGTTCTCCTTTTGCTTTGTACTCTTAAATATTCTATCAACATATAGTTTGCTTAATATAAACAATTACACACCTAATTCTATGCATATAAAAGATGTTAAGATTGACAGGCTTGATGTTTTGGGACTTTCACCTATAATAATTCTTGAGTATGAGCCTGTACTAATCTATAATAGGACAAGCTATCCAATAGTGGGAAAGTTCCAATTTTCTACACAATAACAAATTTAGTATTCAGGGACTGTGAGAGTTGAAGCAGTATACATTTTCCAAAGACAGCTACTGTAGACTGACACTGCATCCTCGGCGCACCCCACTGAGAACTAACAATTGCCCTGCCATTGTACCTGAGTGGGATTCAACCAGCAGAGTCAGGTATTTTGAGAATGCTGTCTGACTTCCCCAGACAAGCAAAAAAAAGCAATGGGTCTCTGCCTTGTTTGCTGGTCACTAACTCTTGTGTTTGGAGCCCTGAGCCATCATACAAACTCCAGTAACCCCAAGGTTGCCATGCTTTCAAGGTCTCATTGAAGAGCTCTGGTCATCAATCCTGGGTTCATGTCATCCCTTCCCCAGGCATCAAGAAACAGAGGCATCAACCTGCCGCATGTCCTGTCCGAATCCCTGACAGGCAGCCTCTGTGAACATAGTAAGGGCAGCCAGAGATGGTAACACACAGCTGTAACGCCAGCACTTGGAGGCTGAGGCAAGGAGATCACAAGTTTGAGGACAGACTGGGCTATACAGCAAGTCTGAGAGCTGCCTAAACTACATAGGAAGATCCTGCCTCAGGAAAGGGGTATGGGGGGCTTCAAGCCTTTAATTTTTGGATTAATTTGAATGGAACAAGGAAGGTCTGAAGGGAAATAAAGCAAAGGGACTATTCAGCCCCTATGTAAAACAGACTTCAAAATACATACACAATTGGGCTGGGGATTTAGCTTAGTGGCACTGCATCTGCCTTGCAAGTGCAAGGTCCTGAGTTCAATCCCCAGTACCCCCCTGCGAAAAAAAATACATATATACGGGCCAGGGATTTACTCAGTGGTTCTGCTGCCTGCCTCACAAGTGCAAGGTCCCCAGTTCGATCCCCAGTACCAAAAAAAAAAATTTTTATATATAACACATACACACACACACACGCACAACTTTGTAGAACTGTCAATAGAAAGTATGCAAAAAAACGCCTCAGAAAAAATACAATCTATACATTTTATTGAACTCATATATCTATTTACTTTGACTTTATTATTATTGTTAACATGTTTCTAGTTTCCAATCCATAATAATTTCAAATCCAAGATTTTTAAAGGGAGGACTGCTGAACCACAAAAAAATAGGTTTGTGGGGAAGAACTCATAAAAACCTCAAAAATCTGCAAGAGGGGATTATTAAAAGGTAGACCATGGTTCCTTGGCCAAATGTAGTCCTCAAAATTGCAAGGTGAAGGGCTGGGGATTTAGCTCGATGGCACTGTGCCTGCCTTGCAAGTGCAAGATCCTGAGTTCAATCCCCAGTACTGCAAAAAAAAAAAAAAAAAGCAAGGTGAGGTATCCAATCAATAATGTAGTTAATCAAATGAATGGAAACTACAGGTCTCTCAAAAAATATTTTTCTAACTATAATAAAATACTTCTTTATAGCATTAGATTCTTCTATGACTCCAAACACTACACTACTGTTTTAAATAACTATTCCCTTCCCTTGCTTATGCTTTAGAAAAGCCGGATCCTGAGCCTGGTTGACGCTTCAAACACTCATTTGGGAAAAATACCAAAACATAACAAAACTGCAGAATAACAAAAAGCTGTTCTCCATTAATGGAACTACTTCTTTATCAATATAATACATGATCTTTTAGTTGTTAGACTCTGAGCTGGAACAAATATATTTACTACTGTATATGAGCAGATCTGTACATAGAAGTCTATGTTGGTCTAAGCCAATAATGATTCTCCAAATGTAGTCCCCAAACCAGCAACATCAGCATTTGCTGAGAAAATGTTAGAAATGCAAACTCTCAGATATAACTCCACACCTAAGTCAGAAACTCTGGGGATGGGACCCAGCACTCTGTTTCATGAAGCTCTCTATGTTATTCTCTGCGCTTAAGTTTGGAAAACATTTATCTTTGTCAATTACATTGTAATTCCCTTTTAACTGCCAAGTCCAGTAGAATCTGGAAGTAAGAAACATTCTAAATCAAACATATGATACTTTGTGACTTCAGAAACCATCACAAGGAAGCCTCAATTTAGAAAAGTTACTTAGATTCAGCTTGAAACTGAGAAAATCTGAATGGTGGTTTGATTTCTAGACATATAGATATAGTCAACCTAGATCTAGGTATTGCATAAGACTCATTTATGAACTGCATACTGAAGGATTACTACACTCCATTCAAAAATAGTAACTTGTTAACTCTTGCATTGAGTTGAAGCCCCTGTTTGATTCAGAATAATTTATTTTCAGGTTCTACTGGACTTGTTACTAGAATATTTATGATTAAACTCAATGAATATGAAAACTTGCACTAGAAACACAAAACCTCTTAAGGCAACCAAATGACCTAATTTTCTACCTTTCAAAACTCAAAGTACAATCCCAGAAACTCCTCTTTTTATTTTTTTGGTACTGGGGATTGAACTTGGGACCTTGCGCTTGCAAGACAGGCAGCGGAACCACTGAGCTAAATCCCTGGCCCCAGAAACTCCTTAAGTAGCTTTCAGGGACAATGAAAAGGATATGGTACTGCACTAGTGCCAATACTACAATTTGCCTAACCTTTCAAAGAGTAGACAGACTACTCAGAGATAAATTATACCATCCTAAGTGGCTTCATTCATTTGTCACTTCCTGTTCAAATGGCTTAAATCCCACTAGAAAAGCTGTCCATTTGGGTTTAAAATTTATACATAGTATGAGACATGTCAATATTGTTACCCTGGCCAGGGATTTAGCTCAGTGGTTCCGGTGCCTGCCTTGCAAGTGCAAGGTCCTGAGTTTGATCTCCGGTACCAAAAAAAAAAAAAAAAAACAGAAAAAAAGTTACCCTAACAGGTCTAACAAAATCATAGGGGCACATATAGGAAAAAAGAGCTGCAGACAAACATAGCTTTGCTCTTCACTAAGCTAGAACATGGCTGCCTAACATCTACTCATATTTAACACATAAAATGAGTATTAACCATTTTTTTCCTGGAGAATGGAGCTATTTTCCTAGCATGAAAAGACATCTTCATGAGAAATCCTACAACGTTGGTAACACTAGACTGTCCTTTTTCTATCTTGAAATATGTAACATAAAATTCAATTTAGTGTTCCTTTTTTCAACTACGAATCATCCTGAATATATTAAAAATTCATTGTGCAAGCTCAAGGACCTGAGTTCGATCCCAGGTACCAATAAATTCATTCATTCATTCATTCATTTACAGCACCATAAGAGCAAAATAAAAATCAGGCCATCTTCCAAATGACCAAATCTTTGTAGAAACACACAACACAGATGTGACAATAATCAAAAGATGTTAAAAACTTTAGTTGAGTCATGTGATAACTGAGAAACAATTTCCCCAGTGGAGCGCACTCCCATCTCCTGTTTCTTTGTTGGTTTTAAGAGCTGACAGTATTCACTATGTGACAAATACTCAAATTTAACTCTGATCCAGCCATTGGTACATTTCATTTCTGCCTCTACTATTGAATGTTGCCGAGTCATAGTACATGTGTATCTTTTCTCCCCAGTTTTTCACCTTTACTAGTTACCTTACGGAAATGAAATTTTTAAATCAATACAACAATAGGGATATCCAAGACAGATGTCTTCCCAATCTTTGCCTCTTCACTCTTACAGCCAAAAAATTCCATACAGGAATAAGTGAGGAAAACATTTTTAACTATGCACTTAAAAACAAACAGCAAGACAGATGAGAAATTGCAAAAAAGTAAAAATTCTTCAATTATACTTTTGCATTACAAGAAAATTTGGAAGGATACAACATCTAAGAAAACTCTGAAAAAGAAAAGAAAACTAACTTTGCTATCCAGAAAAACTACGCACCTGCTGTTCTTAACGGACGAAATACCTAAAAAATGAGGCCTAAAATATACAAAAGAGCACCTACCTATATTTTATGTAACCAGGTCAAATAAATCAATTCTAAAGCACTGCAAGAACAACAGGAAGGGCAAATGCAGACACAGAAAGATAAACATTTCATTTCCTCTCAACTTTCCAAAATCTTGGTGGCTTTCTAGGTTATTATTTCACATCATTAAATCCTATAAATACTCCTCGCTGGTCAACTAAACAAACATCAACTCTGACAGCCCATGTAATAAACAACTGAATCTGCTTCCCATTCACCCTCTACCAATTCAGAAAATTAGTAGCTGGTAAAAATTCATAAGAGACAAGAAAAAAAGCAAAAGTTTTTATCAGAAAACTAGTTAAGCCAAGTGTGGTAGCACACGCCTGTAATCCCATCACTCAGCCAGCTGAAGCAGGAGGACTGCAGGAGGTTCGAGGCCAGCCTGGGCTATATACAGTGAGTTCGAGTCCAGTATGAACTACACAAAGATCCTGTTTCAAAAAAAAACTAGACAAGTTAAAGCAGAGGTTGAATGAACACTAGGAATGCTAGATTTGTGACCAGCAAGAATAATTAAAAAGAATGCTAAATCAGATGTTATCTATGGTACATTACGTAAGATAAATTTTCAAGCAGTTGAATATCTAGGAGTTTAATTTGACAATTTATTTTTTTTTTTTGGTACCAGAGAGCAAACTCAGATCCTTGTGCTTGAGCAGCAGGCGACGAAACCACTGAGCAAAATCCCCGGCCCTGTTTGTTTGGGTTTTTTTTTTTTTGGTACCGGGGATCAAACTCAGGACCTTGCACTTGCGCAGCAGGCACTGAAACCACTGAGCTAAATCCCCGGCCCTAATTTGACAATTTGAACAAAAAGTAATCCTGTAAAACCCTTGCTCATTGTCCGTGTAGGTATGTCTGAATAAATGGAAGCAGCTGGCCCTGCTAGGAAAAAGAAAAAGTTTAGAGTCCCAGCATCACCAACTTTAAATAACAGTCCAGAAACTCAAAAGCTTAGGTTCATCCCCAGCCAGCACTGCATTTAAAAAAAAACAAAAATAAATAACAAAAACCTAAAAATGTGATGGCACACACCTGTTATCCCAGCACTCAGGAGGCTGAGGCAGGAGAACCGCCAGGAGTTTGAGGCCAGCCTAAACTACAAAATAAGACCCTGTCTCCAAAACAAAATAAAACGAAGATCAAGAACGTCTTCTGAATTATTAGCTGCTTTAACCAAGCTTCTCATAAGTAAGTCCACACAATTGAAATGATTTATATACATTACCCAAAAGTTCAACACAGAAAGATGTAAACTACAATTCAACATGGAAACCAAGAGGTATTTTTTAATGATTAAAGTGTATTTCAATTGTTTGTATGTCCAGGTGACTGCACTGAAGGGAATGCAATGAAATGCCTGGTAGTTTACAATGGCTCTAACATCAGGAATTATCTTTGTCCTCCTCAGACTCTACACACATCTTGCTTATGCTACCCAGAGTTTGAGTGCTCTACTTGCCTACTCATCAATTCTACCCACCTGAAAAAAAAAAAAGTTCTATTTCAATAAAAACAACTGCAAGTAAATAACTGTACAAAAAGCATTTTCCCCTGATAATCAGTCCATTTTAATGGATTTCCCTTCCATTTTGAGGGTTTCATTCATGAAGCTACAAATATTTCTATGTAATGATTTTGTCCAACTAGCAATCGGCTTACTCGGCAAATGTCATGCACAAGGAGGCACAGAATGACTTAATCGTTTCTGTCCCCAAAATGCTCACCACCAAGTCACAAAACACAAGGCCAAAAACAGAAAGCAGGGTGCCAAGGAAGTACATAAACAGCTAAAAGTAGTTAAAGGAAAAGACCGAGCTCTATCAAGAAGCACACCTTCTCCTTTCCTCAGAAAATAGGAATAATGAACTCTGCCAAGTATGTGTGTGTGTCTCTCAGCTCATAGTTTTTCGTTGTTTTATTTTTTGAGACAGAGTCTTGCTACACAGCCTAGGCTGGCCTCAAACTCGTGGCAATTCTTCTGACTCAGCATCCCTCACTTAATGTTTCCACACTCATATTCTATCCAATAAGACCACTGGTATAGCTAGTGGAAGAAATAAATGAACCGAAGCCAAACAATTTACAGTTTTAACTTTGGCTGAGTTTCATAGTACTTCTATCAGCCTTCTCAATTACGTACTTATCATTTATTTCTCCCAGAAAAAAAGCAGCAATTACTAGACATCCAGGAGAAGCTTAGAATCCAAGAATTTAGGTTGAAAGGTTGTCACGTTACTTCTCTCTGCCAATAATGCTTTCCCAAAGTTTTTCAGGTTGCAACATGCCAAGCTTGAGTAGAGACTGGCAGATAGGCAGTTGGGGCTTACCTAAGCATAAAGAGAAATGTTATAGTTTAAACTTTAAAATTAATTTCATTATAACAGTATGTCCCAATAACATCTGACACACTAGGACTTTACCCTACTGCTATTTTCAGGACCCCAATACATGGACAACCTACAAAGTTCAGCAACGAAACAATAAAAATCTAACAACAAAAAAAAAATAAAATAAAAACTTTGTTACATTCAGCTTTTTAAAACAGATAAACTGGTTAAAATTAAAGACTTGAAGTTAAAAGCCTTACCTGGATCAACACAATAACCCTAAGAACTAAAATTGGAGAACATTATAAGAGACCCTCATAAAGCATTACAAGAACCCCTAGAGAGGGCAGGGGAATGGGGAAAAAGAACCAAGATACATCATGTAAAGGTACAAGATCCCAATGGTGAATGTAACTGTACTGTATACCTAAAATGTACCAATAAACTTAATGAAAAAAAAAAAAGCAACCCTAGAAATCACCCATCTCAACCTGGCTCACTTCATATAACCATTTCTAGTTCTTCTATAAAGCAAATTACACAAAATTCTAAGGTGGCTTTAAGCTCTAACAAAAATGTTAGACGCTTTTAACAGTATAGTAATAGAAAATAAAGCCATGACAAATCTGTTGTAAAGTTTAACCTTTTCAAAGTAAAAATATTTGTTCACTTGTTTAAAAAGTGAAAGTACTATCTTCACCTAGCCCAAAATACAAATTAAGAATGTTAAACTTAAAATCATGGCAAAGTGTACATTTAATCTGTAAATCACACAAAATGTGTTCTCATTCAGAGATCTGCCACAAGATGGGGTGGGGGTTTGGGGTCACTAAGTGGTAGAGCACTTCCTTGTGAGAAAAAGGAGACCCTGGGGTTCAATCCCTGGTACCAAAAAAAAAAAAAAAAAAAAATCAAGAATATCCTAGAGTAAAATAATTTGGCTAGATTAAAAAAACCCACCAGGCGTGGTGGTGTATGCCTGTAATCTCAGCACTCGGGAGGCTCAGGCAGCAGGATTGAAAAGTTCAAGGCCAGCCTGGGCTACATAGTAAATTCTAAGCCAGCCTGAGCTACATACAGCACTGGACCCTGCCTTAAAAAACAACAAAAACAACAACAAAAAAACCCTTCTCATTGCAATATTTAGGATTCCACTCTCACTCCAGAAGAAGTACCAATACTGTCCTATGAAGACATTCATAGCCTAACTTTTTCAAATACCTCTGTCTCACACACACACACACACACACACACTCACAACCAGAAACAAATTAAGTATTTTAACTTTTTTTTCCTCTGGCAAAGTGAATGCAAAATAAAATAACCCTGCCCTCATGCTAAGCACTACAGCTTTCTGAGACAAGGTGAATGCAAAACCAAGTAACCTTGCCCTCTGCATTGCAGAGGAATAATACATCTTGCAACCAATAGAAAAGCTAACACATCAGAATCCCAAATGTCAAGAAAAACTTCAGATGTTAACCCAAGAACACATTCTACTTATAAAACAGGATAAAAAAAAAAAGTTTAGGATGGGCTTATTTCTAAGTACTTAATATAAATTCTGTACTACAGCTGCATAAAAACTCTAAGTATAGGCACACTGCAATATTCTAGAAAAATGTTATCCTCAATCACAATTTGCATCCTTTCTATGGATAATATTAACTGCAAAGATATGTCTTTAGGGAGTGGAACACTACACTTTTGGCTATCAGTTTTGGTTACATACTGGGTACAAAGCTGCCAGGGGGTTTTATTTTTCTAAGCAAGAGAACACTGGTTAATCTTTCACCTACCAAAGTCACTACAGTCTAAATCTATTATACTTACACCAAGAGTATATCAATTTAAAATGTCATCTATTAAAACATTCTTTATTCTACATCAAAACTGATTACATCTAACAGTATCAGATGAGCTCTCTCCTCAGTTAAAATTAAAGACTTGGTTTCATATCACCATCTTACATAGCCTATGGCCCAGTTATGTATGAGTGAACTGAATAAACCAGGAAGTAAAATCACTCAATTCAATATTACTTGTACTTTAATAAAGATTTGCAAATGAAGTTTTACATTTGATTCTTTATCATAGCTGTATGTCTTCTCTTTGATAAACACTTATGTATTCTTTATTAGCCCAAATTTCTTTTTTTTTTTTTTTTTTAAAGGAGGAAAGGTTTATTTCAGTTTATAATTTGTAGAGGTTTCAGTCCATAGTTGGCTGGCTCAAAGGCATAATGACAGGGCACAGGGTCATCAGAGAGAAGCAACAGTCCATGGCAAGCAGGCAGGAGACAGCAAAGCAGGAAGGAGGAGGAAGAGGAAGAGGAGGAAGAGGAGGAAGAGGAGGAGGAGGAGGAGGAGGAGGAGGAAGATGTAGAAGAAGCAGCAGCAGCAACAGCTATTAGCCCAAATTTCAAAAACCACCAAGCCATCTAGTTGCATTACATAATAGGATCATATTTCATCAATGTTAAGCATATATTCTCACTGAACAGATGCACTCCCTTCCTCTAATGTCTCAAGTTATTAGAAAAAGAACAGTAACTTTGCTTTTTATATGAAATACAATTATGTTTTAAAGTGATATTACACATCTATTCCCAATTTATGTTGGGATACTTGGTTTTACAATCCAGTGAAAAAGAGCATTTGGTCCACAAGGTTCCAACGTGAATAGGTTAAGAATCAAATACAGTTCAAATATAAATTGCTAAATTCACTGAAGTAAATACAAATTCAGTTGAAGAGTTATCTTTACTCCACAAGGGGTACTAAAAAGAATTCAAAACTGATGTGTAAAGCAAATCCTATTTTAGGTGCGTGAGAAATGCTCACTCCTGTTGAAAAGTGAATCAGTTATTAAATCCTCTCATACAGCAAACATCTAGTTACAGAAAAAAAAAATTAAAACTGAAAACCTAAATACAGGTTAAAATCTAAATGTCTTGAAATTCCCCAAAAGTAAAATACATAGTTTTAAACCACATCAGTGCTGTCAACTATTTAACAAGTAGGCAGCTCAGTATGTGGCTTATCAAAAAGCCTCACCTAAGTGTAACTTGACCTTTTCTCTAATTAGCACTCACAACACTAAGACAAAAAATTATAATACTATTTTTGTTCAGTTTGTTAAATCTCCATGTTACAAGACAACCTTTCAGTATTTACTAGCCCAGTCAATAAAACTCTGTAATAATAAATAATTACTCTTTCTCTAATTTAGGAGAAAAGGATGTCACTGTATAGTAATACACATGTATACACCACTGGCAAATTATAGTTCAAGTCCTCTCACGGGACTTATTCAATTTTCTAGATTTCTTTTTTTTTTCCCCCCACATACACATAAACCCTAGAATGTGTCACCTCACAGACTGGCTGCTCACCAGCACCTGACTTTTTATATGATCACCTTTGAAAAGTTTTTTAGTCACTAATATAAACATCTATAAAATATATCATTACATACTTAGGCTGATTCCTATTCTAGATTTCCTAGAAATTCTGAAAAGTAAAACAATCACAGAGATTGACAGCACTGTTTACTGCATTAAGAGGACTGAAAGATACCTAAGTTAGTTTCAATTTCAAGTAGAGTTGCAAAAACCAAATCACATGTGCAGGCTAGAAGATACTAGTTATAAGGCAAGCTTACTCCATTCCATACTTGAATGTACCTATTTTATGCTTAAAATGTTTGTTACTTTTTTAATGTCTATTATTCCATTAGTTACAATGAAACACACTTGTATCAAAGAAAGGATTATGGAAAAAAACTAGAAATCTCAAGATTAAGGCATCTCTCAATTTCATGAGTCCAGGAAATGCAAAGTCCAGGAAATTCAAGTAAAATCTCCACCCCTCAATATTGAAGAAAATGAGACAGAAAAGTATTAAGGCTTAACGGTTCTAAAACTCTCCAAAAATGTAAAATAAATTAGTAAATCATCTATTAAATTCATTAAGACCTAAATATCACCAGTTTTTTTCCCCCCACTCATTTCCCACAGGCCAAATTTTAGTCAAATTGTTGCTATCTCAAAACTTGAAGTAACAATATCAGGTGGCTGGCTAAATAAACATTTTAGTATGATTTTTTTCAAAATCCACGATGTTATGTTATACTAAAGGTGGACAACCAGAAGTTGCCAAAGCAAAGTTATATTTTACTTTTTAAGGAAGCGAGTTAGCATACATAAGTCACATGTAATTGTCCCATTTTTGGTACTAATCATTTGTTTTCTCCCTTTTCATCGTTCATCTTGGGTTTGAATTATTTACTCAGACCCTTTCGGACCACAAACACGAGCCCCTATCTAAACAGAGTTGCGCACCGTCCTGGCTGAAAGCGAAAACAAAAGGCCGACGTGAACATGTATTTCTCACCCTGCGACTCAGAATGGCTAAACATTCAATCAAAAAAAAAAAAAAGTGGGTGTGGCTTGATGGGGGGGGTCGAGGGAGGCTGGTCGGGCGGCTGCCTGGTCTCTGCCCTCCCCCGCTGCTTTCGCTTTGTGCTCACAATGCAGCTCCTGTACAGCGCTTCCCTCTCCCCGCAGCCGCCGCCATGTTAGACACACTCTCCCATGTGCCCAGAGACCTAGAGACTGTCTCCAGGCTAACCTGGACCCAACCTCCGACAAGACTCAGTCGCTGCAGTTCCCTTGCCCCTTTGGAGTATCCCCAGGGCCAAAAAGTCGCTACAGAAAACCATCTGGCCACTAGGCTGGGCCTGAGGCTCGGTGGGGACACTTAGACAATTGAAACAAAGAGGGAAACATAGGGGACCCCATCAGAGGGGGGCGGGGAAGAGCAATCGAAGACCCACTCGGAATGGGCCTGGCAGGAGGCAATCCTAGTTTAATAAGACTCTCAATACACTTCTTCCTCAGGGAAGAAAGGGGTCATTCTACCGGCCTGGGGTGCACGGTAACTGAGCAACAAATCCCACGACTGGAGGACACAGGCCGCCCCAACTCCACCAGGCAGTAGGTTCAGCCCCGAACCCCCCACCACGGGACTTCATCATGTCCTGCCGTCAAGGGCAAGGGGCATCGAAGACCCACAGTCCTGGCAACAGGCCCCCACCCTGGGACATCTACTCTTAGGCCAGACCCGCTACAGGAGAGTCACAGAGGCCTGGGGCAGCGCCGGACGGGTCAGGTGACAAGCACCTCCCCAGAGCCCGCTTTCTGGGCAAGGAGCTCCGGACCACGGCGGGGACGCGGGATCTAGCGCAGCGAAGGCTAGAGATGGGGGGAGGGGGTCCGCAAGCCCTCCCTCTCCCAACTCTAGGCACCTTTTTCTTCTCCAGGTTCCGAAGTTTCTTGTCGATTACCCCGAGGATCTGCTTCATGGCCTCGGTCTGGACCGCACCAGTGCCGGATACTGGGTGCTGAGTAGCAGGCGCAGCTGCCCCGGCCCCCGCCGCCGCCGCCGCCTCACTACCCGAGGAACCCGATGGGGGTGGCGGTCCGGAGGACTTGCTGCCGCTCCCGCTGTGGCTGGTGGCCGAGGGCATCTTTGAGACCGAGAGGAGAGAGAAGAAAAAGCGGGAGGAAGGACAAGAGCGGCGAGTCAGGAGACGGACGGGGCGAGACGCGGGACAAAACGCGCAGCGGGCAGGAGCCTGCGCGAGCGATGGGGGGAAGGGGCGCGCGCGCCGCCGCCGCCAGGAAGAGAACGCGGGCGCGCGACCCGCCAGCGGGGCGCCCGGCAGCCTCGCCCGCCCCTCCCGTCCCCTCCCCCGCGCGGCCGCGGCCCAGCCAGCCAGCCCCGGGGCATCGAGCTTGTGCCGGGGGCGGAGCCTCGCAAAGCGGCTGCCAACGGCCAGAGCAATGATCCCCACCGGGACGGGCCGGGACGCGTCACCCTGCGACGGAGGAGGGGACAGAGAGGAGCGAGATATCGGGGCCACGGGTGAAGAGCACCGAAATAACCGGGGGGGCGGGAGGACTTGAGCGAGGCCCTCGCGACGCTCCAGGCGATCAGGAGGTAATGGACACTGGGGCGCAGCTGCCCTCTTCCCTTCCGGCGCATCGGTGCCGGGTGGCGCTCACCGTGCGCGCGCGGAGCCGCTGGAGATCGCGAGGAGGGGAAGGGTGGCGCTGCGTTCCGGGCAGTGTCGAGCGCTCTGTGGGCGCCCTGTCCCCGCTGCACCGAGAGCCGCTCCTAGTGAGGCGAGAGCCGGCAGCGGAAGGGACTTAGCCAGCCAGCCCTCGGGGCACGGGGGGCGGGAGCAGCGGCGGCGGGGGCCTTCCGGCCACTCGGGCTGCCCGGCGCGAACGCCTGCCGGAAAAGGCGCACCGGACCGCCTCCCAAGTCAGGCCTAAACTCCCGCGCTGGCGGGCTGCAACCACTCGCCACAAGTCGCGACGGCCTTTGGAAACGGCAGCAGTGGTACCTCGAGATATGATCTAAATCGAAGTCGGGGTCCTTCAGGCGAAGTCGTTTGGCGTCCAAACGGGGACAATAGGTGGCAAGAGCTGGCTCTGGAGCTGGTGACTGCCCCGTGGAGATCCCTTATTTGGTGGGGGCCCCAAGGTTTCTGCTGGTAGGGGTGCGTGGTGTGGGTGGTGCGATCTCAGCTTCTTGAATTCCTTCGTATACAGAGCGAGCAAACTCACCCTGAAAGGTTTTCTGAAAAAAGACAACTCGGCGCTTCCCCACAAAACAATCATCCAGCAACCGAGGCGTTCTCTGCAGAACGTCTCAGGCAGGACCATGGTTGGTTTTTGAAGTCTTACAACTCCAGGCTCACGTTAAAAAATCGGCTCAGTAGTTCCGGTGCCTGCCTCACAAGCGCAAGGTCCCGATTTCGATCCCCGGTACCAAAAAAAAAAAATCATCTTCAACTACCCTGAGATGATGTATGTTAAACAGGCCTGAGTATTATGAATTACTAGGCTTTTTTTTCCTTTTGTTTTAAATTTACGTAAAACTTTAAAGAGAAGGTTGAATGAAATGCAAAACAAAAAAATTTTGGTAAGAGAATTATTCCAGACTTGGGGTGGGTGGTTTTGGACATTGAACAGAAAATGAGAACCCAAGTGCTAGAGGAAAATGTATTAAGGGGAATATAACCAGTAAAAAATTCAGCAATATAATGTATGGCAATAGTAAATGAAGTTTATAATTTAAATTCCATGAAAAAGGGATTTTTAAGTTCTACCAAACCCACTGTTTCCTGGGGAATAAAATGAGTAATACTGGCTTATGGGTAATACAATGCATCCTCAGGGAACCTGGAAAAACAGCAGCAGCCTCTGGCCTTGAGATATTGCAGTTAGCTGCAAAGTCTATTTAATCTATTCATTCAAATATTTGTTGAGCTCCTAACTCTGCTAGAGACTCTCCAGTGCTAGGGATTGTGAACAAAATAAACAATATCTTTTCATATAGCATACATTCCAAGTAAGGTGAGTTCAATCCCCGGTACCAAAAAAAAAAAAAACCAACTAAGTAAAGAGAAAAAATACGTATCAGATAGTGAAATGATAGGCAAAGAAAAAAAGGGTGCTAGGAAAAGCCTTACTGAGTGACATATGTGCCAGTTCTAAAGGAAGTGAGGAAGAAGGCCAAGCATTTAGCCTGGAGGAAGAATTTTCCAGTAGAGGGAATACCAGTGACCAAGATCTGATATGGAGTATGTGGGCTGGGTGTGGTAGCTCACTCTGTAATCCCTGCACTCGGGAGGTAGAGGCAGGAGGATTGCTGTAAATTCAAGGCCAGCCTGGGCTACACAGCAAGACCTTATCTCCAAAAAAAAAAAAAAAAGAAGTATGTTTGGTGGGTTCAAGGATCAGCAAGGAGGCCACAGTGGCAAGACCAGAGTGGAAGATGATGTCAGTGGCAGAAAAGGGGGGCCAGTCTTGCAGAGCCTGATAAGCCACCGTGAGGACTTTGTCATAGTGCAGAGTGAAATGGGAAGTCTTAGTTTCATGATCAACCTATGCTTTTAACCACTGCTGCTGCTGCACAGTTTATAGAGGGCATATAGTAGAGGTGAGAAAAAGGATGGAAACAGAGTCAGGGATTTAGCTCAATGGCACCAAGCCTGCCTCACAAGCCCAGTCCTGAGTTTGATCCCCAGTACCAAAAAAGAAGAAAAAAAGGATGGAGCAAAAGCTGAAACTAGGAACTAAGCACAGCATGAGAGCACACGCCTGAAATCCCAGCATTCAGGAGGCTGAAACAGGAGGATCACCAAGAGTTCAAGGCCAGCCTGGACCACATATTGAGAACCTGCCTCAGCAAAAATGCTGAAGCTAGGAGACCAGGGAGGAGGTATTGCCTCATGTGGTGGTATCTAGAGTCAGGGTCAAACAATGAAGTTGATGACAAAGTTGGATTCTAATATTAATTGTAATAGGAGAAGCCACAGATCTGCTATGCTGTCTAGCTGTAAGATATGAGAAAAGGGAAAGTTAACCTAAAGTTATTCAAGGGTTAAGCACCTAAACTATACTTAGCATTATGATAAACAATTATGCAAGGCCTGGAGGCTGGAAAGGAAATGACAATCCTTAGCTCCTTGCAATTCCAAGTGTGTTCACCCCAACCATCAGTACCATTATCCCCACTACCTCAGACCCCAACCAAGACCTACTGAATTAATATGCATTTTAACGGACTCTTCAAAAGGTTGAAAAACCACTGCTTGATTCCTCAAAACTTGACCAATCACTTTGAGAACAATAGAGAAATGTCCTGGTAGATAAATTCTCCCCAACCCTACAAAATCAGAACCTCTTGTGGTTGAACCCACCAATTCTGTGCTTTAACAAGCCCCCTAGGAGATTTTGATGCTTGCCAAAGTATGAGATCCAAGGACTGAGAGGTCCCTTAATAATTTGGTTTGAGTTGAAAATGGTTTATGCCTTTCCTTGGCATATTAGTAGCAATTACTTTACTTTGGAAGCTAAATAAGGCTTTCATCAAGGAAAAGAATATTTTTGAGGGGGATCAGGATACTTGAATCAATGCATATGACAAAGATTCTCATTGGGAGTTCATCTTATACCAGAGGATATCAAGAAAGACCTCAAGCAATAGCTGCCTGGCACAAATATTTTGTCCCATCTTATAGCCCATAGGATATTCAGATAGGCTAGGTTATGTTGCAACAGAAACTCTCAGAGTTCTGTGGCTTACAACAATCTGCAAAGTACAGTCCTGTGGCCAACTGGCCTTTGATCTGTTTTTGTTTGTTTTTTGGTACTGGGGATCGAAATTGGGACCTTGTGCTTGGCAAGGCAGGTGCTGGAACCACTGAGCTAAATCCTTGGCCCTTGATCTGTTTTTATAAATAAAGTTTTATTGGGACACAGCCATATCCACTCAAGTACATATTTTCTGTACACATAGAGCAGAGTTGAGTGGTTGTAACATAGTAGAGTGTGCAGAACCTAAAATACTATCTCTTCCTTTAAAGAAAAATTTGAAAACTCCTGCTTAAAACTGATACCCATCACAGTTCAGTAGAATGCTCTGCTTGTGGTAGTCACTCAGCAGACTCAGGCCAATGGAGAAGCCATATCTCAAATGTTACTGATTATTGTGCTGTATGGAAAGAGATGTCAGGGGTATCTCTAGTAGTCAAATGCTCCATACAGGCAAACATCAAGCATGTGCCTTAGTCACATGACCCCAGCCAACCATAAGGGACTAAAGAGATGATATTCATGTCAGATGTCTGGAAGGAAACTGGGTGCATCCAAAACACCTGGTGAGCAGGCATGGCTGTCATGCTTTCACTTCCTACCATACACTTCCCATTTCCTTGATATCTGTGACATTCTTACAGTATTAGCAAGTCCAAGAAGACTAGTAAATACAAGACAAGCCTTTAGGCTGACTTTCTGACAAGCCCAATGCCATGATCTCCATAAGCCAAATGTCTCTATTTCCTCCTTGACAGAGACAGGAATAAAAGCTTTTATGTGATATTCTACTATGTTACTGTCATGTTATACCTTTTTTTTTTTCCTAATCCAAACCCACATAGTAACATGGGGGCATTTTATCACTGAAGTAGGAAATTTAAAGGGTTTTTTGAGCATACTACTGGGAAACTGGAATGTGTCTATATGTGGAAAACACTTTCACAAGGGTTCCCAAACCTTGATACTGAAGTCATGCAACGTATTATTATATTTTAATAACAAAATTTTCCCAGGATGGCATTCACCTGTTTAATTCATTAGACTGCAGCACTCTGAAGTCTCCGGTCAAAGTAATTGAATGGCTTATCTGGATAATTTTGGCAAAATAATCCAGTTGCTTCAACTTGAACCACCAGATAAGCTAATGCCAAGTTCATTTGTAGCAAAAGAGAGATCTTTCATCTGAATTATATGAAGTGCTTCAGATTGACAGAAACCTGGCTACAGTGTGAACCACACTGCCCTCATGACTTAAAAGCTCCTAAAGTCTCTTAAATTTGTCATTTTAGCACCAATCATCAGTTGACATTACCGTCATGATTTTCCAGTACTGCCTATTTATGATAATTCAGCCAGTTTAGTTAACTATGTGCTAATGAGCCAGGAACAACCTGAGCTTTTAAGGGAAGGCAGCAGTTATTTTTTGTTATTGTTGTTCTGTTTTGTTTTTTCATCTCTGTGTTTTATAGCATGTCTGGCACAAATATTTTGCCAATAAATACCTCCTGTGCGTTAACACATCAGTGTGGTGTTGATTTTGTCATGATGGATTTATACTGTATCTTTGCTTCCTCACTTTGTAGTTCAGCAGCTGATACAGTATTCTTTCCCACTTACATTTTCTTATGTCCACGCTTTCTTAATTGTAATAAGTTAAAAATACAGCTTCCTATTTTGTAGAGGTACAATAGGTTTAGAATATTTTCATATTTCACAAATACTATTATTTCTTAACACTGTTAGAAGCTATGCACTGTGTTTAACGTTCAGTAATAGATAAAATACTTTGGCTACAGCAATAAAATCTTCCAAATATGGGGCCAAGGATTTAGCTCAGTGGTTCACCGTCTGCCTCGCAAGCACAAGGTCCCGAGTTTGATCCCTGGTACCAAAAAAACCCCAAAACTTCCAAATAGTTACTTGCATGAGTTGCATATTGTTTTAATTTAACTTCATATTTGTTTGTTTGTTTGTGTTTTTTTGGTACCGGGGATCCAACTCAGGACCATACGCTTTCAAGGCAGGCGTGGCCACACTGAACTAAATCCCTGGCCCT